TTCCTGAAAATGCAATAAACCCCTGGGGAAAAATGACCAACGTATTTACAAAACAGCCACACCTCTAATTATCCACCACCTTCAAAAGCTTATTCAACCCGATTTCTTTGATTGACTTGTCATACAGTAGATTGTCTTCCTTGTGTTACACAGATTTAATTGCCACCCTGCCCCACGCAGGTTGTAATGCACGAAGAGTGAAAACCGTGTGGGTGGCTTGACTGTCTCACCGTCATGCCAGGATGAGTTTTATATTGCAAAATGGATGGCAAAGGTGGCGCTTTTTTGCATTTCTATCCTCCTGAAACCTCTCACCCAAAGTCTGGCAGGGACGAGAGGTCACGGTGCCCGGTCACCTCTAACTGCTCTTGGCAGGACCGGGGTCTTGCGCACTGGACAAGAGCCGCTGCTTTCAGGTCCTCGCCATAAAAAGTGGCAAGTTTTTAGAAAGTCCTCATCACATGTCCTCTGAAAGCATCTTTAAAGTTGTCTTCACCCTGTAAGACATCTGCAGGTGCCAGAAGCTTAGCAGCCGAGGGTCCCCTCTCGATCTCCTCTCTCTGCCTGTGTCATTTCCCAGACCAATAAAACCAGGATAATGAAGCCTGTGGCCACTGTGGCAGGCTCCATGAGTGACTGGAAGGTGACCTGTCAAAGCCAAGTAGCGGTACAGGCCACTTGTGGAAGTCTTGCCTTATACTGGTGAATACCCCAAAAATGTAGTGTGGTTTCTCTACCTGTGTCCACCTACTTCACACCTGATTTCATAGTCATTTCACTGATATTGACATAGTTACCACTAATTTTCATTGCTGACATTTTTCCTGGCCAATACCAAAAAGCCTCAAACAGAATTGCTCTTTTAAAATTTCTGTTTTTCTAATGTTTTAATTTTTTTTTATTTGCCTGCCTCTGAAGCAGCCGTTGTCCGTGATGGGAAACGCGTACCTACAGAAGCCACTTGGGCAAACCTTGCATTCATGAGTAAGCTGTGAGTAAAGAGCTAGCTCAGAGACCGCGTACCGGAGCTCACCACGCATCTCCAGCTCACCCAGCTCTTCCCTGGGGCGGGATGGGTGCACCCTGGGTGCAAAGCAGCGGACTGCTGCAAGCCTGGGGCACTCACCTGGCCCTGGTGCAATCAGCTGTGCAACCATGGCTTTGCAACAGCCCCGGTTTCTCCTTTTCCCTCCCATTAGCAGCTTGACTGTGCAAGGTCAGCAGGGCTCACTCTGTGTTTTTACTCGTTTTGCATCTTAACTCCTTCTGCAAACATGGGAGTCACAAGGTTTTGTTGGGCAGAGATTGACTGAACATCTGAAGCAGAGGGGTGGCTCCCACTTGCTATCTCTGAAACAATTTCTTTAGTTTCTATCCAGAGGCGCCAGTTAGTGACTTTCATCAGGAAGCCAGATTCGTGTTTACCGTTCAGCCTGCCTGTTTACAAACAGCCGAAGCAGAGGGGCCATGGCTTTTGCAAGCACCGACACGTTCGTGGATGAGTCCTGCATTATCACAGTTTCCAGCCATGAAGGATGACTTGTTCCTCCCCTGTTGCACAACCAGTGAGGAGGAAATCTGCGTGCGCATGTGTACGCCCGTGTGTAAAATCCAGCCTCCGCCTGCTCCCAGCCTCGTGTCGGAGGTGAGCTGCAGCCGCTCCAGTGTGCAAAGGCAGCCCCAGCTCCTCGGTTCAAGCTCTGGATGCAAGAGCATCCTCCTTCTCCCCCGGGTCTATTATACTATTATATCATCTAGCTCGGTTAACATCTAAGCTTGTGGAGTGTTTTTTGATACAAGCCTCAAAGAACCAGCCAGGTGGGACAGTGAATAAGAAATGTACTTTTAAAGTGTTTTCTGTTTTCTTTTTTTTTTTTTTTGGGGGGGGGACTGAAATTTTGGGATGGTTTTTGGTCAGTTAGTTGAATACACAAGAAGTTTTTGAATACTCCGGACTAATTGGTTTTGTGGAAGTCTCTCGGAAGTTGTTTGAGCTTTCTGACTTCTTTTGCTACCTTTGATGCTATCAGATGAAGTAGGGAAAATAACAGAAATCGATAATGAAGTGGTAGATTTCAGAAATACAGGTAGATGCAAATAAATGATAACACTGTCTAATTTTAGAATGGAATTTAATATGGCTGGTGACAAAACCTTGTGTAATGTTCCCTGCACCACAGTCTTACAACATTTTTCAGCATGAAAGATACCCGTTGTGGCACCGAACACGGGGCTAGAGCTCAGAGGATTTTGGTTTTTGCAAGCTGCGGTGTTTTACAAACATCAGGGAAAAGTTTTCTGGATTTGCATTGAGCTGAAGGGGTCAAAATCCCCACAGGTGGGTGAAAGCAGCAAAGGTAGAAAATATTTTACCATGTAATTTTATGCCCTTTTAAATGGGCACAGATCTATGGGTGTTTTTTTCCTTCATTACCAATATTTAGAGGATCCAAAAAACCCCAGAGAACAGTCCCGAAACACTAGATATTTGGCAAATACCACGTAACAACCGGCACTGGATGTTCAAGCCTCCCCCGCGCTGCCCCATCAGCACAGCACAGAGGAACCATCTCCCTGCGCCTAATTTAGGGCCTGATCCTATCAAAAAATGTCATGAAGCAGGTTGCTGCGAAGAAGCAAACGAGCTTGTTTGAGTTGCCTCATGCCACTGGTGCAAGCACAAGGTTTACGTGCTCCGGCTTACAACATCACCTGCAATTTCTCTGGGACAGGAGCCTGGCGTGTAATTGTTTCCAAGTAAACAGCCTTGCACTCCCAAGGTCATGCTGTAAATAATAATCAGCTGGAAATCACCTGGGAGTTTTGCATATCTCCTTAACGTAGCTCGCAGAGTCTGGCCTCTGTACCCATGCAGAGGGTCTTTGCAGGGCACAGCGTTTCCATTTGACAGGAACAGCATGGGGGAAGCTTTGACTTCAGCAAGAGCAAAATTAAGAACCTTCTCTTGCTGTTGAAACCGATGAGTATGGTTGTAAAATATATATCAAAAATATTGGAAGATAAATCTTGTGTTGTGAAGGAGACTCCTTGAGGATCTATTTGTATTTTGAGTGAAGGAGCCAGGAATTAAAGAAATCATTCAGATACTGGAATTTCCCACAGACTATGAAGTTTTATTTTCCAACCCATGAGCAAAAGGAGATGCAGAGAAGAATCTTTTCCCATCACCAAAGCACAAATCACTTTTCCCAGCAGTGCTTGCAGCAACGCTGCTAGCACAGCCCAATGCGAGGAATGCAAAGCTCCCTGACCATAATGACACAGTTGGGGAAAAGCCGCATTGTGGCACATCCTGGGCACTTTTGCTTGAGCAGGGGTGGCTGCTGGGTCAGTCACTTCTTCTGGCTGGGGGGCCACTGGTTGGTCTGCTTGCTCTGGTTGACCTCGATGCTGGGAATGACCACGGGGCATTTCTGCTGCATGGCCTGGGAGGACCCAGCGCTGAGCTCTGGGCCTGAGCATTCCCCGATGCCATAGCCTGATCCTCCGCTACCACTGCCCCCACCCGTTGTTAAGGCCTTTTTACTCGGTGATGTATCGTATCCATATCCAGGGCCTCCTCCCTCAGTGATGCCCAATTTCCCACTGGACCCTCCACCACCCCCTGAGCTGCCAATGATGTTCTGGCCTGAGTCCTCACTGCTGCACCCTATTGCCCCCCCAGTACCATAGACTGGGACTGTTCCCCCTGCAATGCCCCAGCCAGGTGTCCCCTCACTGTCACCACTGGTTATTACAACAGATCCATCACCGCCACATCTGTACCCCCCCGCAACCCCATAGGTGGTTGATGTTGGCATGGGTTGGCAGGATGAAGCTCCCCGGCTGTAGATGACTGAGCCTTCCCCACCACAGAAGAAGGAGCCGTGTCCTTGGAGGCTGCTGCTGCAGCATCCTCTGTGGTGTGAGGAGATGTCATTGCTGTAGCCCCTGTTCCGGCGGGCACATCTCCGATGGAGACAGTGATAAATCTGAAAGAGGAAAAACCATAAAACCTGCACTGTTTTGCTTCATTTTTGCACCACGGCATGTGGGGAGGCTGCAGGTGGTGTGGTCAGAAAGGCAACGCCAGGCTTCAAAACAGGGCACTGCCCGGCTCTTCTTCAAATGCAAGAGTATTTTGACTCTTACTGGGACAGCTTTTCTCTTTCTTATCTCCAGGGTATATTTCCAGAGAATCAAAATCTGAACTATATTCTTTTAACATCTAATAACTGCCATGGTTTTCCCCGCTCATCTTCATGACCGTAACCGCAGAGCGTAAAAATAACCAGGATTATCCTTGTTTCTGTTTTTAAACTGCTGCAAGAGCGGTGGATCAAAATTTCCATGCAAGATGACGTTGCTGGCTGTATTATTGCCATTGTGGCGTAGCATCCCCAAAGGTCTTTTACATAACGTAATCGGCACAGCCATAGACTTATGTAACCATTATGAAGTACAGCAGAGGTTTGTTATCAAATAATACCAAAAATGTGTCCCGCATGTTGCAAAGACGTTCAAAACTACAAAGACTATGCAGTCACCACATCACCACTACAGACTCCTCTGGGTTTTTAGTCTACTCAGCCCTATGGCTCCCAGTCCGAATCTGAATTCACCTTGCTTCCTAGTGATCTGATCCATAGCAAGAAACCGTAGAGGTCCTGAGAACTTTGCTGTGGATGCTCAGGCAGTGTGGGTACTGCTGCAAGCACATGTCAAGATCTCAAACGAAGCTATCTCCCATCAATATGAAATAATAAAGTCTCAGAAAAGAGCAGACTTACCCCCCTCAGCCATTGGAAACACATTTAGAAGATAAAAGTCGACTGAATGAGGAGCTTTAGCAGACAGGAACTTTTATATGGCGTTTAGCATATATGGGAAGTGAGACACCCTAAGGAATGGCAAGGATTTATTTACCAATCAAACTCTGATTTCAGTGTTTGCTTTGACTCATGACATCTGATCGATATCTCTCCTTCACTCTGCTTGTTGCGTTGCATGCAGCAGTAATTGCTACTTCAGCTTAATGATCTTATTCCTGTCCTCCTGCCCTGAGCTACGGAGGACCGCTTCAGCCCCCAGTGAGGTGGCAACACTGGGGGAGACTGGGGAAGGTGGGTGGGAGCGTGGGTGTAG